TTCGCCAAACCACGCCAACTTGCCTCCAATAAACGATGCACAACCTTGACCTTAAGCCAAATGAAAGATAAAACCACAGCACTAGCACCAGCACCAGCACCAGCTCTGCTATTATTTTTTATTATGGATTACAAACCGAAAATTATAACAATTTTGTTACGCTTCTTTGAGGAAAAGGGCCCCACCACCGCACCACACAATTCCCCCTGCAGTTATCTATCGTTATTAGGCGCCAAGTTATCAGCGTAATAAAGTGGCGGGGCAACCAGTTGGAACAGTTTTCTGTGTGGCGGCAAAGTGTTGAACTTGAAAACGAAAGCAAAAGCAGAGCGGGAAACGAGCCAAGTTTAGGGAAGTTGAAAGAGGTAATACTCTATAAGAGGACTTTTAAAGATATATAGTTTTAAACATTTTATAAATGTATATTTTAAACCTATTGAATCTGTCTTTTGATAACCTTAGCATCATCTTAAATAATAAAAATTATTATATTTTGAAATAAGATAAATCAAAAAGCATAAAGCACTTGAAGTCTTAAAATGAAACCCTGCCCCAACTTATCTCTAAGCCACGCGCTAATTTGAAAATAATGCTCCCCAATCATTTTCACATTTTTTCCTATTTCCAGGCACTCTTTTCACGATCAGCGTGTGGTGCAAGCGATAAAAACTTTTAGCACAGTATAGCCAGAAACTCCCCCCAATTCCAATTCCAAGCCCAAGCCCAATCCCAACCACAAGCCCCTCAGCCCCAGCCTTGTGGCTGGACGGTTAGAGGCCCTCCCACTTGTTGATTGTCTGTATAATTACATAATATTGCATAATTTTGCAAAAAGTACTCGGTCGCTGTGCTGGGTCTCTGGGATTTCTGCTCTGTTAGCTACGGGGAGCGAGTCTGGCGGAGACTTTGGATTTGGAGTCTTTGGGGTCTCATTATCGTCGGCTGACCGACGATCTTCTTCGTTTTCGCTTTCAGTATCAGTGCACAATGTAGTACTTAAATAATAGAAGTTTAATAGCGTTTTGTTTTGTGCCGGCCGCATTTGCAAGTCGTTAGTTTCTGCCGTGTCTGCTTGGCTGTTTTTTTTTTCTTTGGTCTACTAATGCATTCAGCTGTAGGATTTTTGTCAAGGTTATCCAGCCAGCTGGTTGGGGTCTGTGTTAGCGGATATAATGACATGATGCATACGGTGGAAGCCAAAGTCAGCATCAATTTCGGTTTTTGGCTCTGTTCTGTTGCGTTTCTTTTTGCTACGTACTTTTCGGGAGGAAGTTCAGTTTTAAGAGCGTTGTAATTGTGTATAGTTCGTTCAAGTTCGCTGCCTAAGTCATTTGGCAAGAGCCTAACGAACTCTGCAGAACTCTTTCGTTTTCTTTTTGCTTTTGGGCAATGCAATGTGCAATGTGTTCTCTCCCTAAGCCAACCAAGCCATCCACCTGGGCTATGGCTAATTTCGCTCATTAATCATCGAGCATCGGCGGCGGCGGCGGTGGGAGAAAATCGCTCTGGTCCCGTCCGCCGAAAACTGATTACATATGTACGGCCCACCAAATCAAAGTTGTGCCAAAAGGCTCACAACATGAAGTCATCTCATCTCATCTCTTTCTACTGGCCCGGTGAAATGTATCTGCAAACAAATGAAGTTGTCTGCCAGCCGGGCCAGGAATGCCTCTAGACCAGACTCTAGACCCGGCTAGTAAAGTCATCAAGTCGAGGATTCATCATTGATCTTTTGGCACTCAATCCTCCGCTCCGTCTGCTCACGAATTATAAATAGTGCAAATGCGTGCAGTGCATCATCATCATTAGTTTTCGGCCAAAAACCATGGCAATAGACTTGTCTAAAGTCGTAGCTTAACCCAGCTCATGTTGCCCTACAACTTGTTCTACCAATTACATGTATGAGTGTGTGTCTATGCCTTTGGTTTCGTTTGCTAAATTGTTTCAATTTGTTTTGTGCCTGTGATAATTACTGCAAAAGAGTACTACACTAAGGCTATGGTATTTGAGACAAATATACCAGAAATTTCTATTAAAATAGGGACGAACTCTAAAATAGCTAAGCTAAAGAAATAGAAAGTATTTGAAAAGCCTTTCCCCGAGCCCTTTAATAAACATAAAAGAGTATCGCCAATTCCACTTCAACTGCATGCATCCTCCTCATCAAGTTCGTGTCCTAAGTCTTTCGTTTCGTTACGTTTTGCGCTTCCAGTCAGGCATTTTCTAATTGCAAGTTAATTTCTTGTTGCGAACATAAATTTAACATTCTAATTGAGTTATCAACCGCAACATGTACATATACACACCGCGAAAAAGCACAAAAAATAACAGACATGGATGCCGTGGTTTGGGTTGGAAAAACAAGTAGGAGAAGGAGATGCCGCCACCGGACAACTTTTACAGCTTCTCATCTCATCGTCCTCAAGCCGCGTTTGCGTTCGAGTTCGCTTTGGTTTCGGCTTTTGGCTCCCAAACTGGCTACGCATGTGAAAAATTGCCCACTACACATGCTGCCACTGTCCTCCGCTCCGCGTCAGCAGCTCCGGCAGCGTCTTCTGGCCGCTTTTCCGACCACAAAATTGCCAGCAAACAAACTATTGTACAACAAAAGCCGCCACAGTCCGGCGCTGGGTAAGTGCAGTAATTACATTTCGGTGTGTGTAACTTTTTGGGCTTTTGCTAATTTGCCTGCTGCTTCTGTTTTGTGTTTTTCTTATTTAGTTTTTGGGCATTTATAACTAATTTTTTTCCCCCATGCTACTTTTTCCAAGAGGCCAGAGAGGCCGCTAGGCTGCTGCTGCCGCTGCCGGGTTGAAAGAATTTTCCAACGTGGAAATATGCACTTTGGCATGGCATGAGCCTCTCGCAGCTCGTAATTAATTTACTTTGTGTGTTTGCCCGATGGCAGCCACAGGCAAAAGGAGCCACACAAACAAACCAAGAACGACACACGAAATATGAAAAAATCCATTACGCAAATGTTTATGACCAAAATGGTCAGTACTCGCAGTCAAAGCCGATGCTGTTGATGCTGCTGCAGTGGCAGCCTCTTCATCTGCTGCCAATGCAAATAGAAAAGATTTGCCAAAGCCCCCAGATGCGTGTGCCCCAAAACTGGGAAAACTGAAGCCGCATGGCAGAAGATGGGAACCGACTTTCAGCCCGGAGTCAAGTGTGTCCACTTCTTTGGCCAGCTTCTCTCACATACATCACAACATTGTAATGCATTTTCTCCCGGTCCCAGACCAGAACAGACCTGGCCAGGCTTGGTCCCGCCCCCCACAGCCTTCAAATGCTGCAAATTAGTTTTCTTTTTCTCCCAGCATCGTGTCATCAACGGGATTTCGGAGGCGTGATTGTATCGAAGGTCGTGGCAATATGGAGATGTTGCAAGAACATTAAAATGTTCGTACGTTTATGGCCAGCTAATGCAGGTTTGTGGGGAGGTGGCGGCGCCTGAAGTACTTATTAGAGAAAAACAATTGCTAGATATTAGCGGTTATTTATACAAAAATTCATAAACTTTTTGTTGTTAGAGGATACTTATTATTTGCTCTCATAATATTCAAATTTTATGGGTTCATACTAATCTAAAATATAATCCGATTCAGGCGGTAGTAACATGATACGTTTCTTTCTCATCTGTGTTAAATATTAATTGGAATTTATTATTATTGGTTTCTAATATCCATAAATGATTGTGCCATTCATTCAGTCTTTTTATGTTTTAAAGATTTTGCTTCTTTTTTCGCATATATAGTTTTTTAAATAGTTATTGGAAGATATTTCATTTATTTTTAATTAGCTAAAAGATGATATACATATGACATCAAGCTATATTTTCGGATTCTCGACCTAGTCCTTTCCAATGGAATTCCTCAGTCATTCCCAACCCGATTCATATTCATAAATTTATTAACTAATGCTACCAACTTGCCGCTCCGAGCCATCGTTAGCCATCCAAAAGTGGCCCAAATTCAAGCGGCGGTTGTGTGTGCTGTTGTTGCCTTCATTTTAATCAAACATTTAGTTTATCGTCTCACATTTCAACTAATTAACACTACGTTGGGACCGCCTCTTTGGCTGAGAAGAGATATTCGACTTGGTTTATGTTTTGCTGGCCTGCTGGCTGGCTGGCTGTTTTTTCGGCATTCGACTGATCGACTAAACGAAAATCAGCTTAAAATCATAAAAAACGCACTTAAATAAAATTTAATATTCAAATATTGACATTTAGTGCCATGTTAGCAGCAACTTAGGTGTTTTCTTCTCCATCTCTCGTCTCTCCACCAGGGGTCTTCGATATTTTTCAAGTCTCCCAAATACAATGGTCCAAAATTATGCATGTGGATTGCTCGGATAGACGACGCAATTCTCTTAGCATTAACTAATTGATCTGCATTAATTTTGAAGCGAGGCCCAGACAAAAGCCGGAGCAGGTGAAACACTTGACGTAGCTTGTATGTGTATTATGATTATTATGAATATTTTTATTTTCTTTCTTCGGTTTTGTTGTATTCTCTGCTATTAAAATTATGACATCATTTAAATATTTTCGCCGTTGTTAGCCAGATATTTGTGTAAACTGGTTTAGGCTACTCACAATTTTCGTCGCTCTTTCTGTCGCTGTTGTTGGGCAATTATGCATGCCCCCAAACCCCATAATTCATAAATTCATTCTGCGCGCCCATATTCGAAAATGCGGAAGCGCTTTGATTTGCTGATGCTTTTGGGGCCATATCATACATATCTTATCAATGCTGCCCACCAGCCAGCCAGCCAGCCAGCCGACCGACCTGCCAAAGATTCTCATCAACTTCTGTCCTCTTGTCGCATATGAAATTATTATTGTCATAAACTTTTTTATGGCTTTGCTCAATATTTAGCTCGTAAAATATTTATTTTTATTTCCCTGTATATGCTTATTGTTTTGTTTTATTGTGTTTTTCTGTCTGGCCATATCTTATTATAAAATCGGTATGAATTTTGAGATCGCTTACCGCATATGGATTATCCTGATTCATCATTATGGAAGTCGGGGAATCGCTGGGCGCCAAGTGCTCAACCGAATTGGCTGAAAAGGAATAAGTTAAAAAATTATTTAAGTTATGCGCTTTTTTTACTGATACTTTCTATGATCTACTTTCTCAAATTCTTATTATATTTTAAGTAAAATAAGTATCCCACATAAATTATGGTTTATCTATTCAAAAATTATATAAATTCTTATCTTCAATCTAAAACGTAAACCCACCGATTAAATCGATAGCTGGCAGTAAACTGATTGGAAGAATCGCTTAAAATCAGCTTGGCTTTCTGACATTTACCTTGGTGAATGCTAGCAGCTAATAATAATAATAATATAAATAATAATATCAATATTGCGATGCACTGCTTAGCTGCACCTACAAAACGAGCTAGGAAGACAATCGGATGGCTCACATCAGCTAGAACACCCAGAGAACCCCACAATCTTAAACTCTCGAGACTCTGAATTCTGGGTGAGTCACTCGGGGCCGGAGCCTCACTCCTGGGCAGAAGACCCACTTCCCACTCCACACTTCCTCCCCACAGTCTCCACGCCTCATGCCCCGCACAACGAGGTGGCATGTTAACTGACAACAGGTGTTTGCTGCTCGTTGTCCGCTTTGCGGCCTGCTTGCCACATTTGCATTTGATATTTTGTAAGCTTGTTTTGCTGCCTGCCGCTGTTAACGCTTTTGCACTAAATACTTTCACACTTTTGCAGCCTCCCAGCCCCTGCCGCTCCTGCTGTGCTCTCCTTTTGAGGCGATTGTTGTTTTCCGGCCTGGCATGGACCCCCTTAAGGATGTTCAAGTCAGCACACGACCTTGATGTGTTAATTTCCCAGTCAACTCTTGACAGTCATCAGTCCAGGTGCACTCAAAGAAAAGAGCTTCCTTAAAGGGTTGTCTTTCCAGAGACGGTGGGAAACTATGGATGGTGATACTTGGCTAAAAGACCTAATAGTATGTATTTTGTTTCTCCTTGTGTGTTGGCACTGGGATTGGCTTGGGCTGTGGTCTTGAAAGGGGCCAGCAAAAACAGTGCTTGGGAGGAAGATTGCCTGCCCCAGCTAACTAGAATAAGTGCACACTTGGCGGTTTGTAGAACATTGCAAACTTACAAGGCACTCGCCATTGAGTATATGGGCTCTGTCAATATTTGCGACACATGCAAAAGCAATCCAAGTTAGATTCTTTATTCTAGTTCAGGCGAGTCAGAAATGCACTTGCAGAAAAATTAGCTTAAAAGATGGAAGATTACTCTCTAGCTAAGTTTTAGTGGAAAATTTTCCAATCAAAGCCCATCTCCTATGTTTCATTTCGTTCAGTGTGGCTGGTGATGCCATTCCCATGGGTCTTAGCTGGTTTTCGAATTTTTGTAACAAATATTCTGGCAAATAAAGCTTTACACGCTATTTGCATTATAAAGCAAACATGTGCGGCGACTATATCTCTGCTGCCATCCCGCTCGCACTTGACTTACATTGATTCTGTTATATAGTCGTAAAGTTTATTTGCCCTGCCCTTGCTGTTGTTGTTGATCTAGCCATATTTTATGGCCACACTAAAAAGTGCACTGGTCAACAAAGCGCCGAGAGAAAACTTTCTCACAATCCGTGTGGTGTGGTGTTATGCCCCGTTCGACTCTAAACCCCGAGCTATATCTCCTAGACTTTCGTATAGACGGGTATATATTTTGGGTGTGTGTGTGGACTGGGTATATGGCTTGTATAATTAAATCATACAGACCGCGACAGTCGTAGACAGTTCGTCAGTTAGTCGGATTGTCAAGCTTTATCTGGCATCGCCATCTTCCTTTTGATTTTTTTGTTTTATGAATTCTTTTCGTTAATGAAATTCACATGTTCCCCGATCTCGAACCCCGATCATCGTCCCCATATCTCTCTCTATCCAGTTTTATGTTCGCATGATGATGAATGCCCCAAAGAAATCAACGAAAAGCGATCCCAAACGTTCGTTTCGTTTTCTGCAGCCTTTGAACTTACCTCCAAGCCACCAAGTTAATCCAATTTATTTGCTTGTGAATGCAGTTTCGAAATTGTTTCTAATTTTTTGCGCACTTTTGAATATCATTTAAGGTTGGCGTTTGCTAACATCATGAACTCTACGTTTTGTGTATTTTATTTTTTGTGGGCTATTATTTTTCGTTCACCTTGCGCCAATAAAACGTCACTTGAGCGTATAGAGTTGTTATTTTGTTTTTTTTTTCCTGTTGCTAAACTTGCACTTGACTTTTAGAACTTTGGGCGACCGTGAAGCATGTTTAAGGTGTATCTTTTGGGGCCTGTGTGTGAGCTTTGTTTTTCGTGGGCTTATCACATGTGAGCTAATATTTTGCTTTGTTGTTTTTATAATTAAAAATTTTGATAATTTCTAAAAAATTTGTTTTGGCTTTTTGCTTTAGTTTTCTATTTTTTGCCGCTTCCCCTGCTTTTTTCGCATAACTTGTGAGTGCTTTTTATAGAGTGAACACACCTTTGTGTGAGGGCACTCCTGGCCGCGCAAGCGCACTCGTTATACTTCGCTTTCTTTTACCGCCTTTTTTTAGAGGTCTATTTCACACTTTTAATAGGTTCAACCGAAGGGCTGTGCTCTTAACTTCCTCATATGTGGAATTTCTGGGATTTAATTTGAATTTTTGTTTGGGATGTGTGCCGATTTTTTAGCGGCGGTCAAAACAACGTAACCCCTGTGGAGACGTAAGACGTAACGGCGGCGGCAACAATCACACAGCGAGCGGCACAGCGGCGTGCGATCGAGCGTGCGAGCAAGAAGCGCGAGCTATCACTAAAGACTGATGTTAAGCGGTTCTGCAAAATGCTCAGACCTCAAGCCGGAGACTCAGATGCTTTGCTTTGCAATATCACATCCGACGAACGACGAGCAGCAGCAGCAGCAACAACACCAACAGCAACAGCAGCAGCAGAAGCAGAAGGCAGCGGAAAAAACAGCGCTCGGTAGCCAACTGAGCACTGAGACTTCGGCTGCTACCAGACCAGAGACTCTGAGGCAAGCAGCCAACAACAACAAAGCCAAAGATGATACTACTATAAACAAAAACTACAAACTGGTCGCCTCGCCGTCCAAGAAGCAGAAACAAAAACAAAAGACTGCAAAAGCGACAAACTCGAGTTCGTCGGAGCGAGTAAGTCACTCTGAGTAGTGGTCTGTCTCAGTGTGTGTGAGGAAGAAGACGATTTCGGTTCTCTCTAACGGTTGATACACGAACTCATCCCCCGATGAGAGCCAGGCTTAAAAGAGAGGCTTTTCGAGTGCGATTTCCTGTCTGTGTGAGCCATTATTTGAGTGATGTTAATTTAACAGCAGCCGGCAGTTGTTGAGTTTAAATGGGAAGTCCGGGTAGAAGTTTTGAGTGGATGTTTTTTTCGAATAATTTGTGAAAATAATTCAACCCTATATCAATAGATTTATATATGAGTAGTAAATGATTCTCCTGATGATTTTATAAGCTAAAATTTATAAAAGTATAAGTCGTTTTAAAGAACAAGAGACCTTTTGAGTCCCGGTACATTTTTGATTGATTAAATAAGAAAAGAAATTCGTAGGAAATCAATGAAGTTAATTTTGAACTAAAAACTAAATAAAATAAATATTCTCAATAAAAAGATGGAAGATTTGTTTAAAATTTGTCAAGTACCATATATCTCCGTTTTATTAATCTATAGGATAATATATGTATTGGTTCTATTGACATCTCCCTCTAAATCTTTTCCTTCTTTAAAATATAATTGATTGTAAACATTTTTAAATAAATTATTGTATAACCTAATTTACTTTCCGAATTATAACCATGTTTAAACTAATTTCATATGCTGAAATTGTTTTCTGTTCTAAGTGCATATTTCCTTTTATATTTTCGTCATTATTGTAATATATTATAATTTACTTTTTAAGAAATAAAACTGTAAAATGAATATTATTTAGTTCTTGGGGTGCTATATTTCCCTATATTCGAAATTGCACTCATTTATTGACTTGCTCTCTCACCATTTTGTGTGGTTTCACTCGCGGTGCACACACACCAATGCCAGACGAATATCTACTCGAATTCGTTACCACATTTGATTGGCTCGATTAACACAATCGGAGCACCGTTATAACCAGTAAGCCAACTCACTCGAGAGCGTTAGGAGAGGTTTGAGCCGCTGAGCGGACCGCAGCCCTCACTCACACTGACTCAAAACTCGTTCGAACCAGCCGTCGTCGGCTGTTATAGATAACCGAGCGATCCCGTTTTCCGTGGGCGCAAACGAGACCAGGCTATATCGCCGTCGCCTATATATCGGGGGACTATATACCGGGCCATATATGTTCCCGTTTCGCTGACCAATGCAGAGCAGCTGGAGGAGAGCAACCCATACAAACGAGAGCGATCAATGAGAGCCATCGCCCCAACACACACACACTCGCGTGGCGGTATGGATATATAGATGCGCTCATTGAAATCGTATTAGCAGATGGATGTGGGCGTGGTCTATCGATCGGGGGGCAATGCCTACCTCCCTGCTCCGCCCGAAGCCCCTCCAGTTTTCAGGCCCCCCTTTGGCGAACTGGATTGCAAGAGTGAGCGAGTAGGAGCTTGGGCGTTGAAGAGTGATGCAAATATCTGGCGGACCGGAGTGATGGAGTTTTCCTAACGGTCTCTTTGCTTTTATAGTATTATTTCTTCTATTTTTTTGTTGCATCTTCCACTAGTTTTTTCGCCCGTTTGGCAGTTGTCAAGCTGTCATAGTTTCGATCATTAAATGCGATATCTGCTGATAGCCATAAGACATTTTACGATATTACTAACATTGTTAGCTGGCGCCCCCTAGAGCGAAAGAGAGACAAACTCGTACTGCCGCCAGATTCCAGATGCCTCGCGCGGGATTAATGTATCATAAATAGCTTAGTTTCTGGAAATTATCCCGCCAACCGAATGGTAATCGTTAAGTATAAATTATAATTAGCCATCTTTATGCCCAAGATCTACAAAATTGAATAGTTGCAGTCGCCGACATAATATCAATTGATTGCTTCTCTCGGGGAGTATCCAATACCAGCGAGTAGTACGAGCAATTAAACGGTTCATGAATATTCATATATCATTTTATACGAAATTTTTTCTCTTTAATTGGCCAATTTACATCGCACGTTTATGGATCTCGGTTAAGAATAGATTTCCACATTCATTTCTATTTGATGTAATACCGGAAGATATTTGCTTGAGTCTTTAATTTAACTTTTATGAAAATTATCTTCATAAAAAATGATATTTCAAAGATAAAAAATAATGAAAAAAGGTTTCATATCGAAGGCTTATCCTTTTTCTCATCCAATAAATGTTCTATAAACTATAAACATCCGTTCTTTAAATTTCTTTCAAACTTTTGGCTAATGATCTTTCTTTTCCTAAACAATTGCATTTTTCAAAACGATTTTATTCAATTCCCACCACAACAGTCCACTCTTAATGAAATATGCCACAGATGCTATGTATTTTCGTTTGTATTTTAAAAATGGGCGTACCGCCAGCTTAGATCGTGGCTCAATACGATTTCTATACTAATTTTACCACTTTTCCCTGCTTTCTTCTAGCGACCAACCGGGTCTTATCCCATTTTGACTTTCTGCCCAAAAATGTCACAGAAGTTAATCCAATTTGCTGTTTTACGACAGGGCCCAAAACAGAGAAAACCCGCAACTCGTTATCATCTTGTTTCCCCTCTCAGGGAAGGCAGAAGTAACCCTTCTCCGTTTTCAGTTTTCGGGGCGCGTACGGGAACCGCCTTCGATTTCGGAGGTATTTTCTCCGACGAATATGGGGTGTTTTAAACCCATTACAAGGGCCCTCACCAGAAGCAGTTGTAACAGCGTTTTCCTCACAATTCGGCTCTGTGGTTTTCCTTTTGCGGTCGCCCATGCACCCGCACTCTCAGCCAGATACTTTTGACAAATTTTCATGCTTTAATTTCGGCTCTTCTGGCATTTGCATATGGCCGAAAGGATAAGAGAGGGATGGGCTGTGCCGCCAGCTAATCCTTGGTGAGCAACAGATTATCCCCGGCAATTGTTTGTACTTGATTTGTTTGTTATGGGTGCGCAGTCGGGACTAAGGACTCTTTCAGTATTTGCGTTGCTTTCTTTTTATTTAAATGCACTGTGAAAAATAAGTGGGATTTATAATAAACTAGAATGCTTCCCTAAAAATAACCATCTATCTAGACATTCATCCAGTATCTAGTACTTTTTTAATATGACTACCCTTTTTTTCCAGTGTAGCTTTTCACGAAAATACTGCCTTACAATTGCAACAATTGCTGACGAGTTTGCAGACTCGAGGGGTTTCCTCTTTCTTTTCCGCCTTTCTTTCCCTTCGCTTTTCCGGCTCGGGACTCGCCCCTTTCTGGTTACACTTTAATGCGTTCTAATGTATGTGACTTTTGCCAGGATTTTATCTCAGGATCGTTTGCCATTTGCCGCCGTTGAACTCTAAACTGAATGCCGATCTCCAAACTGAAGTGACTTGCAAAATAAACGAATATTCAGAACGAAATCGGTTCGGAATGCGTACGAAAATGGTCTAAAGTCGTCCTGACAGTCGCGATCATCAATCATTCGCCCGATTTGTATTCTCGCCCAGCATGATCGGGCCCCTTTCGATCAATATAAATATTTCTGCTGAAATTAGGTTACAGGCAAATTGTATCCATCCGCCGCCTGTGGATGGATATATGGATTCCAGTTTCCAGCTCCAGTTTACTTTATTCTTTCATTTTTGGGAGAGAAGAAAAACTTATGTCATGCCAGGCTACCTTTATTTCTGTTTGAAGACTGTGCATACAATAAATTAATTATAAATGCATTAATCAATGCCAAAATCAGCAGCAACAGCAAGAGCTGTATTTTATATTTTTTTATTTTTGACAAATACTGACATGAGTGCTCTCCTCCGCTGTGTTTGGTTTGGATTTGGTTTTTGCTTCGTTTTTCGATTTCAGTTTTACCCTTTGGATTTGGTTTTTGCTGTGGTTCTTTGGGGCGACGCGTGAAATGAAAACAAAAATTTAAAACACGTTTTCGCGCTTATTTCTGACTAATTTATGCGTTCGATTTGAATTCGACTCGTTGCTGACTCGATACCGATTCGACAGAATTTCATCTTAACCATACTCTAGAACTAATGGGGTATAGTTAAAGCTACTAGTTTTGAGAGATGATTTGTTAAGAACCTATAGCCTATGATACCTAGAAGTGAAATGCATAAATATAAGCCCCTAGTCCTTAAAAGATCCTAAATCATAAACCATTATTTTTCTTGAGCTTTAAATAAAACTCATAAAAATTCAAAACCCCTCTCTAGAGCATCCCAACTTCGTTCAAATTTTATTGATACCTTAACTCATTTCTCGACCGAAGATTGGGGATTTGATTTTGATTGAAAACCAGCAAAGAAGCCAAAGAAAACAAAATTGATTTCCACCTTGCGGCAATATTGGAGACCGATGCTCTTTGCATGTTTCACATTTGGCAGCTCCAATGGTTTTATTTATTTTTAATTTTTTTTCTTTAGTTTTTTGTTTAGTTTGCAGCCAGCGAGTTCCGTTCGAATGATTTTTTATACAGATGTATGCAAATGAGATCATTGATCTGTTTTTGGTATCGATTTGTTTTTGAAGAGTATTTGGAAAACTTGAAACCAAATCATATTTGACCCTAAGGGGTCGCCACATGCCAAAATTAACGAAAACAGAAATGTTAATTTCTCGGCATATGAAAAATGTGAACTGCTGACCATATCTCTCCATGTATATTTATATTTGTTTTGTTTCGGGCCGTGCGTCTTGGTTTCTTTTGCTCTCTGTCCCCGTTCTACGAGCGCGAATTTGAATTTAATCAAATTAATTATGATTGTCAATGGAGCGGGCTGTGCGATGATCAATTTTGGCCGGGGCTGGAGTCATCATCTCTCCGGTTCGGGGACAGTGATAAATTGACAGATCAGTCAGGCCCCTCCGGTCATATCAATCAGCTTTG